AGCCTAACACCACCACCGTCACAACTGCCAGCACATCCTGTGAAAGAAACCTTAATTCTCCACCATTTACACGATCATCGAACTTCCATTCAAAAGATTTGTCGTTGTGGCCCGATAAAATACGATCAGAACTATCGACTGAGATTGGAGTATCGATAATTCATTGGAATGAAGATGAAGTGAATAGTGAGGGTTTCCAATTGGGGAAATGATTAAATGAGTGAGAAATAGGGTTTGAGAGTGAGAGAGTATCGAGTGGTGTGTATTGATCGTGAATCCGTGATATTATCCCTTTCCAAATCAATTAAAAAATTAAAATATGTTAGTATTTAAGCTGGAAATTGTTTACAATTATAAAAGGTATTTGCTTTCTAAATACTCCAAAATTACCTCCATTTTTTTTCATTAATCTCAATTTTTTTACTATTTTTTTATTGTAACAATTTTGTTTTATGATTCATTCTTTTAAGACTATTTGTTTCAAATATATATAATATAAAAAATGTAAACATATAAAATTTTTTAATTTTTCTTTACATCATGATTCATTAAGTTTTATGGGTGTTTTATTATGTTAAAAAAATATAGGAAATTGATATATGAAATATAACAAAAATTTTAATATTTCAGTAATGGATGGTCATACTACCGTTCGAGATTTTTCTGCTATGCGAAGTGTTTACATATGGTGGAACATATTATCTATTCGAGTTTTATATGTGTGGGACGACATTGAAAATAACAGAGTCTTGATTTGGATGATTGATCGAAACGTAAGTATGAATACAATAAAATGAATATGTCATCTTTTATCTAATGTTTTGTTTATAATTTACATAATTGTTATTATATTACATATCCAGAGAGACAAAATGATCGCCATTGTCCCACAATGTTTGAGGCAAATAGTTTTGAACATGAATTTGGTTGGAAGAGTGTTGTCCTTAAATCATTTCCAAGTTGATCATTTTACGAAGATCACCCCACGTATCAAAGTTACAGAATTTTCTTTGGTGATTGGGCAATAGTGATAAAAAGTAATACAATATTTACTCGCTTGTCAAATGATATCGACAATTCATTTCCACAATATCCGTTGTGTTCTTCTATTACAAGCCTCGCAAGAAATTTTAGCCATCAAAGAATGATGATCGGTACATTTATATATATTTAATTTATATTTATATATATATATATATATATATATATATATATATATTTATAAATTGCATACAACAAATAAAATTATACTAATTTTCGTGTGGTTTAGATGTTATTGGAAAAATCGTTTGGGGAAGACGAATGAGGCCATTCTATGCATTTGAACTATTTCTCCAAAATGAGATGTAAGTATATAATAACATAATACTTTATTTTATAAATTTACTAATCAACTTTCATTGTTATTATGTGTTTTAACAACTTTTTGTTTAAATGAATAGGGGGCATATTATAAAGTTGATGTTCAATCACGTACCAATGAGCCTTATGATACCATTGTATCTTGCGATATTTAATCAATCCATAATTTATGTCTCTAGGGTGAAGTTGGTCAACCTAAATTTGTGTAAGTTAACTACGGGAAACATTATGTATAGTTTCATTCTTTACATATTAATTACTTTTATATACCATGTTAATTGTATATTACATGTCCTTACAGATAATTTATTGGTTTCTACTTCATTAACTGATGTCACGTTGGAACCAAGAACACCGGAAGCGGAGAGGATAAGAATTAGATATAGGGAAAATATCTAATTTTACTATAGTTGTTTGTTTGCGGATTATGTGGTAGTTAATTGGATTTTTAGGTGGTTATTTGTTTTCGTAGTTTTTGATATTTATTTCCTTGCAGATTTTTTGAAATGGGTTTTTACTTCGTTTATTGAATTAATAATTTTTAGTTTATAAATTTAGTTTCTTTGTTTGACTATTTTTTTATATTATTTATTTTGTTCTTTCTATTTATAGGATATTTACGTTGTGGTATATTAATTAAAACAAATATTTTACCAAAGAAAAAAATAAAATATTATTTAAATATTAACTAATCAATATGCATTTATCCAATTATTTAAGAAAAAAAACTATTGAAACCCTTAAAGAAATATATACCGAAAAAAAATTAATGAAACTTGAAACAAATACATATTGCATAAGGCAAACAAGCCTCGAAAAGATAACATGAAAAACAAAAACCGATAAAACATTACTTAAAGTATTGAAAAAAAAACTATATAATTTAATGCAAATATCAATTTCATAAATAAAAATTTAGTTCAACTCAATCAATGTTCGAGTAATACGGTTATAAGTATTGTATATAACAATCGTTTTTCATTAAGTTGTGTTATGAAAAAAAATCAATTTATATATTATTATTTTTACGTTTTTACAGTTGGCATGGTGATTGTAGACAAGGAAAATAGGCCTAATGATGTCATTCGACTAGACGTAAATGCACATAAAGGTACGTCTGATATGTGCAACATGATTATTACTTTAATTTTACGAATAATTCATCAGAAACAAAAAATGCAGAAAAAAGAAAAAAGAAAAGCATATAACAAGACGTCTTATGAACGACGAAAGGAGAATAACAAGATTAGACGAATAGCCGATGGAGAGGTAAGTAGACAAAACGTGACACGATGTGACAAATTTGTGTACAGCCGAGGGGACCCTAACGGATATTACAAATAAAACTCCTACAAGTGTATTGGATGCTGCTCAAAGGAGGTCGATTCAGAACAGAAAGGCCTATCAACGACGAAAGGAGCGAAACTTAGCGACAACGCCTAAAGAAATTCTACAGGAGGATCCATATGACTTTGTTTATAATGGTATCCCTAAAGAACATCGTGTGTTGAAGGGGCAAAAAGCATGTGTTCATTGTGGAGCAAAACGATTCCAATTTGAATTCCCTACCTTTTGTTGCATGGGTGGTAAAACAAAGTTGGCACATTCCTCTATCCCAGAAGAATTACTCGAACTCTTCACATCTCGAAACGAATTAGGCAAGACCTTTAGACACATGATACGAGCATACAACAACAACTTTTCATTTGCATCAATAGGCGTGAATGTGGATAAAACAATGACAAATATGACATCTGGAGTATACACTTTTTGTGTGAATGGAGGAATATATCATAGAATCGATCAGTTAATCCCAAGGGATGGAAAACCTCGGTACTTACAGTTGTATTTTTATGATGCTGATTATGGGATGTCACATAGACTCAAATGGAAGAATATTGATAAACAAATTGCTCAAAAGTTGATCCGTGTTCTTGCCACAAACCCATACGTGCAAATATTTCGAAGACTTTCTGATCTAGGTCCGCTTGACAATTACAGAGTCACTTTGAATGCATCAGTAGAACTTGACCAAAGGGTATACAACAGACCGACCACATCCGAGGTACCATAATAATTATTGTCTATTAATTATAAAATAAATATATCATGTATGACATACAAATGTATATATTACACACTATATTTAATCATATCGTTTCCATAATAAAAATTCTAGGTCGCTGGTATTTGGATTGAAGGTAACGACAACATAGTCGCATATAGACGAAGTATTATCGTGTATGGCAGATCCGACAAACCACGAACAATTCAATCTTACTGGGGATGTTATGATCCATTGTGTTATCCTTTATTTTTTCCTAATGGTGAGTCTGGATGGCATTCTAATATCCCAAGACATGGATTTCCCATCAATAATATTATTAACGACGACGATGACATCCATGATGATTTAGGAGGTACACATATCCTAACTTTTTAAATTTTAGTTAAATTTACAAAGATTACATGTTTGTATAAATCATTAATTTTTTTTTTCACGACATCAACATTGTGTAGACTCTAATACAAAAGGAGGGCGGAATACTGTAAGTATGCGAGAGTACTATTGCTATAAGTTTCAAATCCGGTCAAATTATAATGTAATTTTGTTGGGAGGGAGATTACTACAACAGTTTGTAGTAGATATCTACATCAAGCTTGAGACTTCACGTTTGGAGTTTTGTAGAAAAAACCAGTCAAAAATAAGAGCAGATTTATACCAAGGTGTTGTGGACTGTGTTAATGCCGGTGAGGTTCGATCGAATATGATAGGGCAACGTGTTGTGTTGCCTGCAAGTTTCATCGGAGGCCCACGTGACATGCGGCGACGATTTCTTGATGCCATGACTTTAGTTCAAGATGACGGGAAGCCTGACATATTTCTTACAATGACATGCAATCCAAACTGGCCGGAAATAAAAGATGAGTTACTCCCTTGGCAGACAGCTCAAGATCGACCGGACCTTGTGTCAAACAAACATAGGGATGGTCCGAGTTAATTTTTGAAAATAGGGACTAAACACGCTTTCTGGCATGTGCACGAGGGACGAATGGTGTAATTTACCCAAAAAACAATTATAACATAGTTCAGTAATAAATACCATAGTTTAAAATTCAAAATAAACATAGGAGAAAACTAAAATAGTTCAGTAATAAATGTATTATAGCTAAAAAATATAAAATCTAAGCTATGATAGTAGTCATACTTAAGTATGGAGTGGAAAAGAAGTGCCTCACGTCTGAAACATTCATCACAAATGATAATCATTGGTTCTTATGCATTCTTTTCCTCAACTGTTCTAGTCATATACACCATGCCCTTAATAATCCTTCAATAAGGAAGGAGACTATTCCATGATCCAACAGAACAATACATGTATTTACATGCAAAAAAAATCAAAAACATAAAAAATAAAAACATAAAATACTCGTATTTTTACTGTATCTATTAGATTTTATGCTAGTAAGTAGAAACTCTCCATCATTTCCCCTGCAACCTTTACCTAACCACTATTTCTAGGGTTATTAAACAACAAACATTATTTTAAAGATTTATTAACACATTAGGTAGCATCATTATAGAAATATTGAAAAGTTTTGTGTAGGAAAAACTTAAATGAAATAGCAACGAACTTCCCTTGATTTTACAAAAAAAAATTAATGAACTTTAATTTTTATCCAGAATAACAATATAAAACATTAATTTACTAATAACAACATCTTACTTTCTAGTAATTGGGATTGTTGCTATGGCTTAGTTTGTAATTTTGGAGCTGTGTTGGTTTGGTCACTTGATGCATTTGGATCCGAGTGATGTTACCTCATAAATCTTCAATTCCTATTGATCTGTGTTGACAATCATGCTCTTTAGATCCTCACGCCAGCGCAACCACTTAGTGTCGCCACATTGAAGGTGAAATGATTTGAATTATTTTATAGTATTCACAAAAATGATGTTCCATTAGTCTCGTCTCGCAGTTTAAATGTGGTACTTACACGCCCTGCCTCATGCCCCTCTTCTTTCATCTGAAGCACATGCCCAAATTTAGACCACCTGAGGTGCCTCCTCAACTGATAAAACTGCAAAGTTATATGGAAGATAAGTTGTAATTTATATCAAAATCTTAGATGTCATACTAAGATATTACACTGAGTAGTTATTAAACACATCATGGTTATCAAACAATAAGACAAAATGTTAAAAACCAAACCAAAAAATTTGTTTCAAACCGAATTGCTACCATCAATTTTTATCATCCTACATTTTACCGTGCCCGCTTAAAATTCCCACATTGTCCAAAGGTCAAAGGTTAACATTTTTAGCATCACTTTTTTCTCTACTCTTTCTTATTAAGAACATTATTAAAATTTGTAGCTACCTCATGGAAAACTAAATTGCTTAGTCATAAACCAAATTTATTTCACCCTCCATATGGTAACCGTTTACACCATATTTATACCTACAGAGAAAAGCTAACAAATTGACTATTCCATAGTAGATTGGATAGAAAACTGCAACCTTTTACAGCAGATTCGCCTGCCAAATACCCAAAAATGTATCATGTAACAATAAGAAGATTACTTTGCTACAGCGCAAAAGAACAAAAAGTCAAAGTTCAAATTACTTCAATTGAAAAAGAGAAACAGAAAAAGGAGATGGACTGATCAGTTGCCAATACCAAAATTTCCAAATCAATTACCACCCGTTTAGCATATGCACGGTTAAAGATATTGAAAGAGAGAGAACAAAATACATGTACAGTAATAATGAATTAGAATAACGATAACCTTTAGTTTACTTTCTACTTTACCAGTAACTTCTAGAGAAGATTGGGTGTGCAACAGGTTTGAAGACTGAAGTAACTTATTGATTATAATAATATATATTTTGGTTCAAACATTTAAGCAAACACCAAATCTGCATAAAAAGTAAAAGTAATTAAGTCATAAAATATTAATAGTTCCATGAAAAGGTGTGAGAGAGGGTAAAAGGGCGCATAAAATCGTCCAAAAAAAGGAGTTGGTGTACATCAAACAGGTAAGGGTGGTTGCAAAAAGAAGACTTGCCTTTGAATTATGTCTACGACGCACAAACTGCACTCCTTTAATTTGTAAACATAAAAAGTTCCAGGAATCAATTGAGGAAGAGATAGAAATGGCGAAAGATGAAGAAGGTAAACGAAGGGATTACTTGCCGAGAGAGAGAGAGAGAGAGAGAGAGAGAGAGAGGATAGAGATAAGGGAAACATGAGGCGGCGATATGGGGGGAGCAAAACCAAGCAAGACGTTACAAAATTACAAAAAAAATACAAACCCTATATTACAAAATCGAAATGAAAATTAAACATTATAAACCATAGATTATAAAAATTGTAAAACAAAAATATGAAATTGTACATACCATATACAGAATAAAGATGAAGTGAAGAGGAAAAAGGAAGAAAAAGCAAGAGAAGAAATAAAGAATCCATAGAAGAAGAAACAAACCTTGAAAGTATAAGCGTGAAGGGCAGACGTGAATTCTCATGTCTCACCCATCTCTCCGGCTTCCAATTACTGTTGGTAAGGATGGGGTACTCGGCTAAAAAAGAAGACAATTCTGGGGAAGATAAGAGTGTGTACACGTAAATTGATTGGAGAATAGAGGAGTTGGAAAGTGCAGCGATCATGAGAATCTCACGAACCCATATCAAAAAATATGCTATGTCGGCTCCCAGAAACAATTGTTTAGGAATCGCAGGAAAATACGAAGAAATCATGTGGGTACCTGATCTTGAGCTCTTGGTAGTGGATTGAGAAATTAAACTGATACCCAATTGACTTTAGGTCAGTATTATCTAATTTTGGGCGAGTTATCTGCAATGAAGGAGAGGTGTCAATTAAAAGGGATCCAAGAGTGGCACGCAGCATTGGGAGAAACGACACCGCCACCAAGGAAAACCCAATAATAGTACGAACGAAAGAATTACACTTGGATAGTCCGTACGAAAAATAACATAGGATAGTTGCAATGAAAAATTAGCACATAGATAGTCGGCACGAGAAATTAACATAAAGATAGACCGATCGCTAAAATAACACGGAGATAGTCTGAGTGAAAAAAAATTACATAGGGATAATCTGACCGAAAAATATAACACAAAGATAGTCTAAACGAAATAAAAAACCTGATAATAGTACGAACGAAAAAATAACATATGGATAGTCCGAACGAAAAATAATAACTTAAAGATATTCGGAACGAAAAAAATAAACATTGATAGTTCGAACTAAAAAAATAAAACAGAGATACTCGGATCGATATACATGGATAGTCATAATTTTTTTTTCTGGAATGACAGGAATTTTATTAAAAAACTAGCAAGAAACTAGAAAAAATATATCATAACATATTACAAGCTAGAAGAGGGTTATGTAACCAATAAGTCCAACCTATTTTAGCTTTACTACACCTATTGGAAATCCAAAAAAAAAAACTATCTATCACCTCATCAAAAAGAACCGATTTCCTAGGCAAAGCCGATCCAAAAATAACGGAATTACGAAAATTCTATAAACACCATAAAGTGGTCAAAATTACCGCATCAAAAGCTTGACCTTTTCCACCTCTAAGGGAAATAGAATTCGACCACGATAAGAGGGAATTAATCAAAAAATGTTGAGGAGACTGAACACCCCACCAAATAGCAACACAGGTCCATATCTCAATCGACTGGCTACAACCTACAAAAAGGTGATCAATAGTTTCAACAACAGTGGAGCAGACAGGGCAAAAAATCGAGTCAACCGTAATGTCTCGGTGAGAAAGTCTCTCTCTAGTAGGAATACTATGTAACCACAATCTCCAAATGAAAATGTTTAACTTGATAGACACCCAATTATTCCATCTAGTTTCACATCCCCCCATGAACAACATCCCATTATCCAAAAAAACTCGAGCTGAAGAGACAAAGAAAGAATCAGATACATCAATAGTCCACCCCAAACGGTATGGTCTCGACTGATGTGACAACCGGCAAGTTTGTGGTCAAGTCAAAGTCAATTCAAGGTCAACGGGGTAACTGGTCAACTCACCTAGTGCTTATATGTTAGGAATTACTTTATGTTTTCTAATGTATGACTATAAATCTTAATGCAAGGTGACACTTGAAGGTTTCAAATGTTCGAATTTAAAACCCTAATCTGATTGAGGATAGAATAAGTACTAGCTCTATAAAACATTAGTAAGTGACCTTCGGGGGGTATAACACTCAAATGGGATGTAACTAAGTCTACGACCTTTGAACTACGAAGAAAAACATTAATAAAGGCCCCCGACAAAGTCTCCCTCAATCTCTCCCACTGTATCTCTCTCTCTGTCACACCCCTGGATCAGACGGCGGAAACATCCGGAGGCGGGTGACTTCATTGTGCAGTATCATAACAATTGAATATAAATGAAACAGAGCAATCCAAACATCATACATTGAAATAACAAACTTACATAGTTTACATATTGTATTTGTTCTTCGAGTTACACAAAAGATACATAAGTAGAAAACTTCAAACTACAGCTAACTGATCTTGCATCAGCGTCCCTTGTTACCTGCTTACTAGATCCCTGAGAATACAAGTCGTTTTGAAAAGCGTCACTAAAAAGTTGTGTTGAGTTCATAAGCATTTTTGTATAAATCGTTTACACTTGTTTAGAATCGTTCTCGTTGTACTTTCAGAAAATCAAATATTTTCTATGAAATCGTTTGGAGTCTTGCCTTGAAAATCATGGATATATGTGTGCATGTCATTACTTTTGTTCATCCTTATAAGGAGTGATCTTTGAAAAGTATTGTAATTTGTAGAAACGAGTTGTGTCCGAGAATAGTTCTTTTGAATAGTAAAAATCATCCGTTTCCAGAAAAATCTCTTATTTTCAAAAAGGAAATATGGTTGAAAATCTTGTTCCTCTTATCGAGTAAAATTGAATGTGCGTTCTAGTTTATCGTTATCGAAATCGTAGAAAAATAGTTCTCTCCAGAAAATCCTATATTTTCTACTATAAAATATTCATAAGTTCTAGTTTATCGTTATCGAAATCGTAGAAAATCGTTTTCCGCAGAAAATCCCATATTTTCTGCTATAAAATAATCGTAAGTTCTAGTTTCCAACTATGTATATGTGTGGGTTAATTTATCGTTTTCAAAATCGTTTACAAACGTTTTCCATAGAGTCCTACGCTTTTTAATTTGTAAAAATAGTAGTATTACGACTCTATACTTGTAGGAGAAAGATCAACATGGCAATTGTGGACATTCTACGCGATGAAAAAGGACAGTCAACGCAAACAAATGCGGACCATCACTTATCATGTATAGGACGATCAACACAACGTGCCAAAAATTTATTTATGAGGTTTTCCTTACATAAATTTCTAGATCTGACATAACATATTCTAGTGAGTCGTTATAACCATACTAATCTGACGAAGTGCTTGTTTTGGAGTTTCTCAGGCGCCCTCGGTTTGGAAAAGACATTTGTCACCCTAGACTGGCCTGTCTAGCTGTAGCGAACAACGAAGGTGCGGGGTGTCAACCCCGTATAGATCTATACACAAATTCCGCTCTCCCTCCAGGAGACTCTGGCATAACTCCTTACAGGACTTAGACGTACACTAATATTTTTATATTTATGTACTTTTGAGATTTGTCTGACTAGAATATTAACAACCTTTTGAGCAATCGTGAGAGATCCATTATTTGTTAGATAAATAATGAAATTCGTACTTGTTGAATAAAAATATCGTTCTCGTTCCATATCGTGATTGTGTCGTTAACTAGGTGCTCGTGTTCGTTCCTTTTCGTTTTTGAAAAATAAGTCATTTTAGTCAAGAGAAAAAGTGTCAAGTTATAATTTGTATAAATTTATACCTGCCGGTTAAGACACGCGTTTTCTGTTTTATGACATATAGAACATTACTTATGTTGTTGGAGGTTTTACGACAGCAGTTTATGACATGCAAATATTTCTGTCATAAAGGCTCTATTTGTGTATTTTCTTGACGCAAACTTTTATATCAAATATTTATAAAATACCCCCTGATAGTTTGCAAATAGTTCACAAAGTTTTCATTTTCGAAAATTACTAGAAGTGGTGTCCACTAATCAAGATCCCTATTATAACTTTTAGCTCTAGACATGAAAGCATAGATAAAGGGGTTAAGTTGGACACACCCAATAGTTGGGAGGCTCTTTTGTATAAAGTATCCTCTGTTCCTTGTGAAATTTAGAAATCCTTCGTTCATGAGTATATTACTAAATAATAATTTAATAACTTCACCCACCCCACAAACATACGTATATAGGCAATGATTAAGAATCTAGGCAGATTTGACTTGTACTCTCCCCCCCCCAAAACACTATTAAAAAATGAAAAGGTGGGTATGAAGCTTACCTTGAGTTAGTTGAGGTGAGGAACTTCCCTGGGAGGGATGCTTCCCTAAGGATGATCATCACATATTATTATGAATAAAATAATATGGATTCATCTCGAAATATAATAAAATATTAGGTGAGTGGAGGAGTTTACCTTTCAACTTCAAGGAGAAATTGAGAATATTTTCCCTTCCAGCAAGATCATTGTTCTTGTCTTAAAGATGAGTTTTGAGGGAAAATGGGAAGAGTGAGAGAGAAAGTGGAGTCTAAACTCCTTTACTGTCGTGGTTTTGGAGTATAAAAAAAGGAAGGGAATCTTTGATGCATGGGGATCTGGTGGTCCATGAATGGATATTTGGTGGGTAAAGCATGGAATACTGTGATTTGCATGGGAAATGAGGAATTTCATCAAATCACAAAGTCAATCCCTTTGTCCTTTTCTTGATTTAGGATAAGGTTTTCCTAAATCCCAACCATTTATTTTTATGAAGAATATGCTTAAAATAATTAATTTTAGCATAAAATATGGGTCTAAGGGGTTTAGGATAGGAAAAATACTAGTTTAGTGTAATTTCTGGCGTCAAAATGCCTTAAAATGGTGAAAAAGTCCGAAAATAATGAAAATCCGGAGTGGGATGGGGTGGGGGTTGGTTCCTGCGAGGGTCCGAAGTCAAACTCCTCATTCCGGAGTCATTCTTCCACTTCCGGAGCAAAGGAGTAAAATTTCCAAAGCTATAGATAAATTCTGGAGTCATTAGGCGGAATTCCGAAGCATTCTCTTCAGTTCCGGAGGGCTCTTCTCGGATCCGGGGTCACTTCTCGGATCCGGGGTCAGGAGGTGAAGTCCGGAAGTCTGATCCGGATATGCGAAGTCGGCTCCTAATTCCGAAACGGCGCGAGGCGAGGCAAGAAGCTTCCGGAGCTGCGAGATTGTCCGGATGGGAGGAGAGGATCCGAAGCTAGGAGGGTTCCGAAGATGCGGCTCCTCTTGGTTTCTTAGAAGGTGTCCGGACTAAGAGGGTTCCGGACCAAGAGGGTCCTTTTGAGTTTCCTCTACCGGTTTTAAGCTGTTTTCGACTATGGAAGGTGCTTAGAGAGATTTGAGATACATGGAGAGATTTAGGAGAGATTTCACATACTTGGAGAGATTTCGCACATGGGAGAGATTTGAGAGAGATTTCACATACTTGGAGAGATTTGGGAGAGATTTCACATTCTTGGAGAAGATTTTGGAGAGATTCGATATAACTTGGAGAGATTTCACATCTTGGAGAGATTTGGAGAGATTTCACATTCTTGGAGAGATTTTGGAGAGATTCGATATACTTGGAGAGATGTCACATACTTGGAGAGATTTGGGAGAGATTTCACATTCTTGGAGAGATTTTGGAGAGATTCGATATACTTGGAGAGATTTCACATACTTGGAGAGATTTAGGAGAGATTTCACATACTTGGAGAGATTTGGGAGAGATTTCACGTTCTTGGAGAGATTTGGGAGAGATCGATATACTTGAAGAGATTTGGGAGAGATTTCTCACACTTGGAGAAATTTGCATTCTACCACTACATGGCTCTTAGGAACTCATATAGTACACTTAGAAG